GGAGCAAGAAAAGAGCATCGCGTTTTTCTTTGATGCTATCTAAATTCGGGTTGGCGTTTTGTTGCTCCCGTTGGATTTCGTTTTCTATCCTTTTGATTTATTTTTTGTTTTTCGCACTTTCCTGAATAGATATATGTTATAATTCTACCCTAACAAAAAGTTTGCAGTCGTCCCACCATTTTAAAATTGAGTTGTAGGACCGTTTTTTAGATTGCCAATCTTTAATTGATAGATAAATTTTTTGCCTATACACTTCTATTTCCAAAAGAGAAAAATTTAATTTCCAGTATCCTCGTCCTCTCCTGGTTTTACTAAAATTGACGGTTGTTGTTACGAACTCGTGGTCGGAGAAGGGGTTGGTGAGAATTTTTGTATATGTTGTTTTTTTTTGCGATTTTTTTAGGGCAGTAAATTCTGTCGAGTTTACATTTTGCCTTCTGATTTTGCCATGTGAATTCCCTTTTGTTTGGGAATTTTAAACGAAAAACATCAACCAGGTTATACTCTCCTTGGAATGCCCCGAGTTCGCCCACGCCGTAGGTGTGATATTTAGCGTTGTTGGTGCCTTCTGTGTCGAGAGGCAGGCTTTCGACCATGTTGAAGTCTCCGGCCAACAGGACGGGTAGTCCTGTGTCCTGCGAGAAATCAACAAGGTCGCTAAAAAATGGCGCCTTTCCCTTGGCACATTAGGAGCATGAATATTCAGCACCTGCATTTCGTGTTCGTCAATTTTTATTATGACATTTAATATTCTTCCGTTTGTGTCCCTTTTTAGTTCGCATAAAGAAATATTGGATTTCGAGAGAACCGCTACCCCGCAACTGTTATGACTTGGACCGGAGTTCCAATGGGACTCGCCAGTCCATTCGTCTCCCCACTGTTTAACAGTGAAAGGTCCAGAGTGTGTTTCCTGTAGGAGGATGAGATCGAAGGAGAATTTTTTTAGAAACCCAAAAAAAATTCCCGCGTTTTTTTTGGTCGTTTAGACCGTTTATGTTGCACGTTAAAATATTAATAGTCATGATGGTGAAGATCAGTTTTCCTAATTTGAAAACTCGTGTAACTTAAACATAAATATGATATTTTTACGACCTGACATTAAAAAAACAAACATATAAACCTTAAACCTAAACCACGAGTTTTCGATTTAACTGATGTAATACGAACAGATGGACGCACTGGACCATAACAATTCACACAAAAGCGCGAACTACAACAATACAGATTACGACAGCTTAAGCGCTTATACAAAATTTTCACATGCATAATTAATGACATATTGAATGAAAAAAAAAAGAAATCGAAAAAAAGAATTTTTTTTTTTTCTTTTAGCGGGAAAAAGAAAAATTAAGTTTTAGAATAAAAAAGTTCAAAATTTAAATCAAAATTGAAATTATAAGAGAGAATGTATTTTAAGAGGGAAAAAAAGAAAAAAAAAAAAAAAAAAAAAAGGAAAAACCTTACGATTTCCTTTTCGCACTTAGTTGGCATTCGTAATCTTCATCAGTAATCAAAGCGTCAGCTCCATCCTCATGAAAACTCTCGTCATCTCTTTCATTGCAAAACAGATCTTCGTTGTTAATTGGTTTTACGGGTAAGTCGTTTTGAACAACCTTTTGAATATTGTTCTCAGGTTGTCCAACATGTTTATATCGGAGTGTTAGTCCGTCAACATTTTGATAGCGAGGTAATGGATTTAAACCCGGATTTTTCCAGTTTCTAATGATAATGATCACATTTCCAGTGTAGATATCTTCTCCTTTAACTTTCACTTTCTGTAAATAAAAAGATGTTTTCCCAGTTGGAAAAAAACGCTCTGGCATCCGTTTCTTAAAATACTAATGGGTATATTTTGAACCAGAACATGTATCTTTCTGATAAACTTTTGTTGGAATCGTAAAACACAACCTTTAACTTCGATTTCAGTATTTAAAAATGTCGAAACTGACAAATTATCCACCACAGCAAATTCGAAAATTTGGTTTAAATAATGCCTCGTAACTCCCCAAACATTTGACAACAATTTCTTTTCAGATAAAGCAAACAGGAAATCGTTTACACTAAAATTCAAATCTCCGTACCGGCAAACTAACACGTTGGCATTGTCATTGGAAGAGTTGGTTTTAAATATACCAAGTTGAGTTTTAGCATGGTGATTCGATGAAGAAGAAGACAAAATTGCACTTGCCTAGCTTTTAGCCATGAAGAGATTTCAGCAGTAGATTTATTGCTAATGTGGATTTATTGCTAATGTGGATTTGATAATGTAGATTTATTGCTAATAACTAGAGTGTTACTAATAACTTGTACTACAAGTGTATCTACAAGTTGTATCTACAAGTTGCATCTACAAGTTGTATCTAACAACAAAAGTAAAACATAAATTACCAGTAACAGAAATCGAAGAAATTTTAAACCAACCTATTTTTTATAACAAAATGATTCAAAAGTCGCCAAAAAAGTTCTTGATTCCTGACAAGAGTCACATAGAAAACGATATTGTCCTTTTAGCTGACATAGCAAAAACTTTTCAACCAGGCTTTCTAAATCATAAAAGCGTGAATATTAGCGAAAAAAACTTAAGCGAAATTATCAAAGCCCTTCTGTTTTAACATTATACAAATTATTAAACAAACCCATCAAAAAACTTGAATATAAATTTAATAATTCCGCCAGAATGGAGGCGAAAAATTTTATCCCAATCTCAAAATTACGATTTTAGAAAAGCCCCGCAATATATAGCTAAAAAGAAATCAAAATATGAATTAAAAAACCTAACTGTTTTAACATTATACAAATTATTAAACAAACCCATCAAAAAACTTGAATATAAATTTAATAATTGGAAGACCATGTTTGATAGCATGGACAACCTAAACCATACTGATTGGGAACAATTTTTTGTCAACATTTATAAGAGAAACACTAATAATAAAGCGAGCGAAATTCGATTCAAAGCAGCACATTTTATATTACCAACAAACGATAAGATGTTTGAAATAAAAGTAAGAAAAGATCAGCTATGCCCTCAATGCAAAACAAAAGTTGAAACGACTGCTCACATGATCTATGAATGTGAAAAAGTGCAACCTTTAATTTTTTATCTTTTAAACATTCTAGATCAACTCTACCCTTTAGAATACCCTCATATTAACAGTTTGAAATTTATTTTATTCGGCTATGAAAAAAGAGCCAAACAAAGAGTTTTTGGGAATATTTTATTGGATGTTTTGCTAACGGAAATTTTTTATAATAGAATGAAGAGCCACTTCGATAATAAGGTTTTTACAAACAAATATCTTTAAAAAAAATTGAAAGCAAAAATTGAAAAAGTTTTAAAAAACGAGTTACTAATAATATTTAAACAAAATAAACAAGAAATACACAAGGAGGAAATAAAAAAAATTTTTGCAACGGAAGCTTGAGATTGGTTGCTGATATATGCAACTATTTTTGAATAACATTTTAGACTTTTTTAGAAACTTTTCATATAAAATACTTTTAATTTTTCTTAACTAATTGTATATATTGGATGAATGTAATTCTTTCAAATATGAAATGATAACAGAGAATTAATGATTAGCTAAATATTTGATAAAAACTAAAGAATTAACTTTTTTCAGATAAGAAAAACACGTGACTAAACAGTTTCAATTTTTCCTTTTCAAAACAATTTTTCTTTTTATTCTCTTTCGATTTTATTTTTTGTGTTTTTTGTATTTGGTTTTTTATGGTGATTTTATTGTAATAGGTCTAAGACATCTTTGTAACGGGGGTATATATTTACGAAATCTTGTAACTTTTATTTTTTTTTACGGTGTCAGTATGGCAATTAGCCGGATGACAATAAACTACAATACATAAAATAAGTGATGTATTGCAAAACTATAATTTTTAACAAGTTGAGATAATGTATTTTATATAATTGCAAATAAATATTATTTTATTTAAAAAGACAAAAAAAACAAATTGAATTAAGAGTTGATACAATATTTGACTTAAGTCAATTATGTGTATATTAACGTATTGCACCTTTAAATATTGTGTGCAATCCTGTCCGCTTTCTCTATGCTATCTTTCTGACTCGAGTATTTCTATATTTCACGCTAACATATCTTCGTTCTTTCCTAAGTCACTTTACTCTTGGTCCGTAGAGCGGGTTATGCCGTACTTGTCTTTGCGGGCCTTAGTAATGTGGCCTCTATTGGGCAAATAGCCGGAGGAGGATAAGCCACGATACCAATTATTTTTGGAGGATAAACCACTATATATATTTTTTCAAAATGTGTATTATTTCTATATTAATCAATACAAAATATTTATGGATATTCGAGTTGCAAAATCTATTTCGTTTAAAAACACCAAAGCATTTAGTAAAATTTAAATAAAATTAATACAATAACATCTTTATCCACTATTCCAACGGCGCTAGAAACCAATTTACGGCATTTTTCAATAAGATTTAGCATTATATATTTTTAACTTGTTTCTTATCGTAATTTATATTACACGTTGTTTCTTATTCGTTGTCTTTCTTGGGGCGTCCCGTAGGAAACCCCTCGACACCTTCTCCCCCCCCCCTCCTCAAAAAAAAAAAAAGAATAAGCATTTGGGTTGGCGCGTGGAGCAAGTTCTAAACTATAGTTGGTAAATTGCAAATATTAAGAACCTTTTTTTTTTTTGGTGTTTTTAATTGGCAAAAAATTACATAGAATACCCCCCCCCCCTCATGGAAGACCTCTTCGGGACGGCCCTGATTATAAGTTATGTAGAAAAATACCGACTCATTAATAATACTCGACTAGTTTTACCTTCTTTTTATACCGTTCATGTAAACATTTGTTTGAATAAATTTCAATTTTTTTACTACAAAATTATTTTGATTGGAAAATATAACGATTAATCAAAAGATTATAAAAAAGATAAGTTCTGTTATTATAAACCCACAATTAAAACAAAGAATAAAAATTAAGTTCTATTAAAAATTCCCTCTGTAAGGTAAGACCGTACTAATAAGGATCATTTCTTTAGTATGCGTCCTGTCATTGTAATTCTACAAAGACAACCCTCTAAACCATGATGATGAGCTGATGTGATGGTACCTGAGCGTGATACTTAACTCACTAGATTTTTACGAAAACCTAGTGGTTATAGATGAACGTTCTGTTCGTTCTAGTAACGAATGGAGGGTACCGTCACCAGCTGAATGGTTCTAATATCAAATAAGAATATAAATATAAATGATGTATGAACCTCATAAGGTGTTATGACAAATTTCTGTTTAATTTCTCTTAACTTATTAAGTTAATTATAATCATACTAGCAGTAAGCAACCCGTAATACGGGTTATTAGTAACTAAATAATTGCTTACGGTTACTAACAAAAAAGACTACGTTAACATCTGTAAAGTTCTTTTTAAGATCTATTTCAACACAGCAGGTACCATAAAAGGAAAGTCAAGTAAAGCCTTCCAATGCTTAAAAAAAGGAACAAAAAATAATTACAAAGTATTATTTGCATTTTATTGTTGATAGAATGAAGATGACTTAAATGAAGACTTAAAAAAATTGCTGTAATAGCCCAGTTCTATCAACACATTAACAATAGCGCATAGCATAAGATCATAAGATCATTTCTATAGTATGCGTCCTTAGTTTTAAGTACTTGAAAATTGTTGAATGCAAATTTAAGTGAATATTGGAAGTGTATAAGCGTTTTTTTAATATATCAACTTTATGCAATGGCGTTATCATATGCACACGCAACTAAATTTCATACTGATAGATCTGAAAGAATTGTGGAATTTAAAACAAGAATTGATTTTTCAAAAATCAGCAATCCAAGGTACATTACTGAAAATGCCCAAGAAATTTCAGAGCGAATAGCCGAAAAAATTGGAAAAGGAAAAATTGAAAACCTGACATACCATAGAGATGGAAACTGGATTGCAGTCTTCAGAAATATAAATGATGCCAACACCATTGCTCGATCAGAAATTGAATTGACCGAATCTCGAAAGCCAATTTATTTTAGAAAAAGAGAAGATTTTGGGTTCTTAATTACAATAAAATGTGACCCAATTATAACAGACGAAGAACTATCGCAACAACTGAAACCACACATTAAAAACATTAATTCAATCAAACATGCAACGTATGATTTTGATAGAACCATCGAAGACGGACAAAGGCTCTTTAGAGTTAATCTTACAAAAGCCGTTAAAGAACTGCCACACGAGATTGAAATAAACGGGCAAAGAATAACTGTTAATTTTGCCGGAAAAGAATTTCTCTGCCGAACATGTGGCTTAACACATATCCCAAGAGAAAGATGCAAAACTAAAGAAACGCAATTCAACCAGTCCAACTCAACAATCATCCCAACAACTATTCCAATGGAAACTAAAAGAAAACAAGAACGCGAAATAGAACCGAAGGGAGAAGTAAAAAATTCAATATATATAAGCAATAAAAATATTCCTAAATTTGTTGTTCTAGACGACGACCAAATAGATATAAGTCTCCCTGAGGATGTTAAAAAGAAAGTAAGGGAAACACAAAAAAGAAACGAGGCTGCCTTTGCTGAAGCCAGAAGAAAAGAAGAAAATGAACAAGAAGAACAAACACAACAAAAACAGTACTCTGAAAATACATCAGAAGAAACACCATACATAGATTTTAAACCAAAAAAACAGCTACAAAGAATTGAAAAAAATATAAAAGTACAAATAAGCAAAACAAGAGATCAAGAACAAGAAACCAGCGCGATCATCGACAGAGAAGAAGAAGAAAATGAAAATGAAAATGAAGAAGAAACCAACAGAAGAAACAACAAGACACAGCAGGGCCACGAAATAGAAGAAGACTCGAGCGGAAGAATCGATCAAGAACCCGAAACGAGCGAAAAGAAACAAATGCAACCTCCAACACCAGAAAAAGAAAAAATGATCCTTAAAGAAAAAAGACCCCGAAAAATTCAAAACCAAAAATGGCAAAAGTAATCGTAATTACGCAGAAAATACGGTGGTATGTTCCTTTTTTATTATCTAAAATCGATTTTACATTTTATATTATTTGTAGGTTATATAATGTGAACGATTTTTTACATAAGGCATTTTCCGTCTATGTGCTCCAATTAAAAGCTTTCTCTTGATCTAGGAAAGGAATACAAGATATAAACACTACTTTATTTTCCTGAGTTTAATTAAAAAAAATTAATTAAAAAAAAAAAAAAAAAAAATTTATTTAAACGATTAAAAATGGAGAAAATAAGTTTATATACGTCAAACGTTAATGGTTTGAACAGTTTAAGTAGGAGAAAAACAATTATAAATTCTTTTAAAAACAAAAGCCACGATTTCTTTTTGATACAAGAAACCCATTTAGACAATGAAAAAATAAACTTACTAATAAATGAATGGAATGGCGACATTTTTTTCTCTCCTGGGAATTCGAAAACCCGTGGAACTGCAATTCTATGTAAAACCTGTCACGAACAGGTAATTTTCTCAGGAAACGATACGCATGGGAATTACAATTACGTAGCAATAAAAAGAAAAAGCGTAAACTATTTAATTATAAATATATACGCTCCCTCAGGCGGAAACACGCAATCCCTTAGGAAAAAATTATATATTGAACTAGCAAATATATTTCGCAATAAAGAACTTAACGATTTTATTATTATCATGGGAGGAGATTTTAATGGAACCCTTTCAATTAAAGACAGATATCCCTTCTCAAACAAAAAAGAATGCCCCTCAAATAAAGTTTTAAAAACTCTGCTAAATATTCTAGAAATAGAAGACACGTGGAGAGTTTTTAACCCGAATGCAAACGAATATACATTTGCGTCGGCTAACGGAGTTTCACACTCAAGACTAGATCGTTTCTATATAAGTAAAATATGTAGGCAAAATACAAAAACCTACTTTGAACCAACAATATTAACGGATCATTATAATGCTCAAATTATAGAAATAACAAATAACAAAATAACTTTTGGAAAAGGAACGTGGATATTAAACAACACGCTCCTTCAAAACAATGAATACAAAACTCTAATAGAAACGACCTGGGATGAGTGGAGACAACAAAAAGAAAATTTTACAAACACAAAAGAATGGTGGGAGGCCGGAAAAGAAAAAATAAAACAAACTTCTACAAAATTTAGTAAAAAATTAAACCAAAACAAAAATAAAAAGGAATATAAACTAAAAAAACTTCTAAAAAATGCATCCAAGAAAATGCACTTAAACAAAAATATGAAAATTTATTTAAAGACATTAAAACAAAACTAGAGGTAATTGAAAAAGTAAAAGCCGAAGGGGCAGCTATAAGAGCAAAAGTTCAATGGCGGTTAGAGGGAGAGAAATGTACAAAATTATTTTTTGGTTTGGAGAAAAACAAACTATCAAAACAATACGTTTCAGAAATAAACGCCAAAAACGGAGAAACAAAAAATACATCTGAAGACATCCTATTTGAATTCAGAGATTTCTATAAAAATTTATACAAAAATAAAAAAAACGATAACAGTTCCCAAGAAATTCTTTTAATTAATTCTAAAGTTAACAAAGTCACTAATGAAGATAATTTACTATTAGAAAAAGAAATATCAGAACACGAAATTAAAAAAACCCTATCACAAATGAAAAATAATAAGTCACCAGGATCAGACGGCCTAACAATAGAATACTATAAAGTATTCTTCGATCTGATAAAAAATGACCTAAAAAACATGTTAAATAACGTGCTAAATACTGACGAAATGACGCCATCACAAAAAGAAGCTCTAATTACGTGTATTTACAAAAAAGGAAATAAAAATGAAATAGGTAACTGGAGACCTATATCTCTGACAAATGTAGACTATAAAATTCTAACAAAAACATTAGCAAATAGATTGGACAAAATTTTACCAAAAATCATAAATAGTAACCAAACGGCCTCAATCAAAAACAGAACTATAAATAACAATTTAAGTTATACTAGAGATATTATCAGCATTTCTAATACTGATAAACTAGAAACATGTATACTTTCCATAGATCAAGTGAAAGCTTTTGATAGAGTAGATAGAACCTTTTTATTTAAAAGTCTTGAACACTTTGGTTTTTCAAAGGTTTTTATTTCTCATATCAAGACAATATATAATAACATAAATGCTAAAATAAAAATTAATGGCTTTTTATCCAAACATATAAATATCTTAAGGGGAGTACGACAAGGTTGCCCTTTATCAATGATATTATACATCATACAGGCTGAAATATTTGCAACATATGTTAGACAAAATAAAGATATTAAGGGAATTATAACTGGAGGAAAAGAAACAAAAATCCAGCAATACGCTGATGATGCTATGTTCTACCTCTCAGGTGATAAATCTATAAAAATGGTAGGACAAGCCCTAAAACTCAACAAAAAAGCTACAGGCTCTAAAATAAACTTAACCAAATGCCAAGGTATATGGTTAGGAGAAAATAGATTTAAAGATAAGGAACCATTACTAAATTTTGAATGGGGGGAGTCATCCTTCAAGAGCCTCGGTATCACTTTCTCAGCGTTAGGCAGCTTCTCTTACTTCACCCACTGGAGGGACCGACTTCAGAAAATAGATAATACCCTAAGCAAATGGAGCAAACATAAACTTTCATTAAAAGGAAGGAAGATTATTATTAACTCTTTGATAATCCCACAAATAACGCACCTAGCTTTTATTGTACCCCTTCCAAATGATGGAGTTTTAAGTAAAATGGAAACAAAACTAAATAACTTTCTATGGGGCAGGAAAATATCCAACCTGAACAAACAAATAACACAACAAAAAATAAAAAATGGAGGAGTTGGAGTTGTCAGTCTAATACACAAACTTAAGGCAATCCAAATGCAATGGGTCTCCAAATTACATAACCAAAATTTGGAAGGCCCATGGAAGAACGCAATGCTTCACATAATAAACTCGCACAGAAAATCAAACCAAAACGTACAAATATTCCAAACTAATCCCACGCAACTTAAAAAACTTCCACCGTTCTACCTTCAATTACTTAAAAACTGGAACGATGTTAAAACATCTTATAACGTTCCAATAAGAGATATAGAAGAAATACTCAATCAACCTATTTTTTACAACAATAGCATCCGTGATAAACGGCACTGCTTTCTCATTCCCAAAAAAACTCATATTAAAAATGAAATAATGCTCG